GCTCCCGGATCAGCCAGCGAGTATGCAAATGACTACATCTTGTGACAATCTCTGACCTCATCATCAGCTTCAAGCCCTCTGACTCGGAACAATGGACAGAGCTGATACAGACACTGCTGTCACGCTGTTCGCTGCAGCCTCTCCGTCGGCCAGCTGCAAGCAGCGTTTACTGTGTGAGCTCCGGCACATCAGGTTCAGCTGGGGGGGGGGGGGCCTCTTCCACGACCACATGCAAGGTTACATGCACATGACCTTACGCAGGCCTGTACGTGACCTCATCACGTCATTCTTTCCCTGCGTTCACCCACAAACCACCATTCTACCTCTCCACAGCGTCTCAGTCATCCATCCTAACAAGTCCAGAGAGAAGCTCTGCACATCTGGCAGTGGCGGAGCCCAGGGTGGCCAGTGGTGACCACAGGGGCAACAAATTAAAAGTCATTTGGGATTTATTCAAAAAGATCAGAACGCAACACAGCCTAATTATAAAAGATCAGAATTGATATTCTGTTCCTCCACTATCTTAGGCGTCATCCATTTCATTACATTTTCGAACAATTTGCGTTTGGACGTCATTGTTTGAATCCCTGTGCATCACCTGACCACCCAGCAGCGTTTCCTAACTCCTCCATTTCAGCAGTCGTGGACACCAGGCATGTTGGTGGCAGAGTTGATGTGTTTTCAAAGAAAAACATGGTTGTGTGGATGTAGCCTTAGGTACCACCAGGCTAACTTTAACTTAAGATTCATTGGGCCAATGCTAACGTAGACCCGCATTCGTTCACAATTTTTGAATATATGGTGTCAAATCCGAACCTCTTCCACACATTCTCTCTCTCTCTCATGTCTTGCCTCATCAGAGTGACAGTGAACGTCCCTGACAAGCTCTCATGTAAACAGCTATCCTGGAGTTTTGCACGCACACTGTATCAGCATGGTGGATTTGACTGTGTTCTGAAATCTCCACTTACTTCTATAATTCAATTAGTGTGCCTTTGTGAAGGCCGTAAAGTTGAGCCTAAAACCAGGAGGATACTCAAACTCCAGAAACAAGTTGATTTTCAGAACACAAATGTGCATCATTTGATCTGAATGTATTTTTATTTCTAATGCAACAGTAAAATAATATCTCAAGTTTAAAATATCAGAATGTACGTCAGGATGAAACATAATATGCGTCTTTTAGCTAACACCAATCTAAGGGTCGGTATGAAGGATTTAGTGACAACTAGTGATGCCTCACTATCCCCCGGCCTCCCACATGTGTAGCAGACACTATGGTGGTTTTCAGGATTCATAAAACCGAGAGGCCCTCTCTACAGTCTCTGTTTGGTTTGTCCGTTCTGGGCTTCTGTAGAAAGACGGCAACACAACATGGCAAAAACAACGATCTTCGCTGACTATACCCAAATGAAAACAGAACTATGAATATTACATTCCATAGACTCCCTCAAATCCAACACACTGTCAGTCACTGAGGCCTCCTCAACCCATCCATAACGTCATGTAATGGAGAGTCAGTGTCTCGCTCTGCAGTGGCATGTTTCAAAGCATCACAATTTCAGTGGAGTTTCAGTGAGTAGATGACCACAGCACTCAAACTCGTACCCAGTTCTGTCGCTGCATTACAAATGTCTTCCTGTACGCTGAGATTTAGTCAATAAAATGAGAATTCTTGTTGGGTTTTATGGTATTGTCACTTTTGTTTTTTGAGTTCTCTATGGATGATGAAACGGGAGTTGATGAACATGATATTTTCTATGCACTGTGTGAAACCTAATTACATTAGAGTTCTACAGAAATTCATGATTTTTTGGAAGTTGAAGTTAACAAGGAACAAATAAGCCAGAGTAAAAAATATATACGTGAACCAACTGATTATGAACTAATTTAGTAAGTAATCAATTTCACTGCTGCATTAAAGAAAGACACCGTAACTTGCTTATTTCACTTTGCTTTAAAAGTCTAGTGATGCTGGTCAGCCATGAGCAGAGTTGGTGTGTGAGGTTTGATTATTACAACAGATGGATATATATATAAAGTGTTGAACAGTAAAGTAATACCTGGTAAACTCATAGTTACATATAGAAGTGTTCATTTTAAGACGTTCCTCAGTAGAAGAGACTAAATGGTCGGGTCATTCTAATGACCTAGGTAAATAAGTTTTGTGGTCATATGTAAAGTTGTTTTTGCATTACCCCTGCTGACGTAAGAAAAACAAACAGATGAAAACAAAATCTTCTTGGCGGAGGTAATAACTCCATTATAAAACGTAAAATGGAAGTGCCAGAGGGAAAGTGATATTACAGACAGGGCATTTCAAATAACAGACTTTTAAAGTTGTCACCACGACTGGGGGCAGTGTGACAAATTACCAACACAGTCAAATTACCTTTTAGAGTTGCCATGGCTACGGTATACAAATTAAATGCAATGGACCAACATAGTTTTGTCCATCTAATTATGATATTAACCATAATATTCATTCAGTAGAGCGCAAACCTCGGCCAGAACATTCTCCTGTGAAATCAAACCCCACCACAACTCCCACTCAGCCACACATCAGTCCTTAACTGCTTTTTAAATCTAGATCTCTGCATTAAAAACACACCATCTCACAATGTCAAAGAAATATAAGATTCCTGGTTCCACCCTTTCGATAGATTTCACTCCAGAGGTCAGAGGGTTCTTCCTTGTAGGGTTTCTACAAAGTTCAACAAATTAAACTTAACTTTATAAGACAACAATATTCCTTCATATCTGTCGAACGTGACAGAAATGAAGGAATATTGTTGTCTCCGAATTGTATACACTTCTGTAAAATTGAAGATCAGACATTGAGAATAAACGTCAAACTACAGGCAGAAACTGAAGGTATCCACAGTCAGTCCCAACAGCCAAGATGAGTGAACTGAGATAAATTCTGACCAGAGTGGTTTCTGGTTCTCAGTTCCTCATTGGGCTTGTTTGTAGTTTTATCACAGCGTACTAATATCTGTATCGCTGAAAAAGAACAAACACATGGAGACATAACAAGCGATGCATGCCGCACAACATTTCTCTTGAAAGCACTCATTTTAAAGCATAGTATTAATAAAGTAGTATTAATTCAGAATTTAATTAAGACCTATGTAAACATGTTAACATCTTTAAGAATGAGTTTAGTGGATTTAAGACTTTTAAGGCCTAAAATTCAGATCACTGAATTTTAGTTGAAACATTTTAAAAGGCAGAAACCCTGATGATTTGGTTCCATCTAACCCTGAGGCAAATATCTGGCTCTTTATTAGCCGGTAACAATTAGCAAAGTACAGTGAGTTTAATTGTGTAGCTGGTGGAAATGAGGCCAAACCATGGGCTTAAACATTGATCCGTAAAACTTCAGAATCAAGTGATAAAAAGCCCGGAAGACATTCTGACACACAACTGTAAATAAGATGCTACTTAACTCTCCTATTTTCCTTTGAAACATTTCTCAGTCACTAAAGAAATTGCTCTAGAAAAACACAACATTGAGCAAAATATTTATTTTTGACAATTACATGACCTCTGATACTCCAAGAGGTGAACGAGACAGTACAAAAAGTTGCCATAAAATAATAAGAATTAAAAAAAAAAAAAAAAGTGACACGAGTTGGCAGACTAGTCCAAAGTGAAACCCTAAGATCACGGCAGCACTGACAGACACATGGAGGTGTTGGAATGTGATGGGCGGTGTGTGTGTGTGCCAGGACAGAGACGCTTGCATCTGAGGAGAGAACCACATCCTGCTACAGGTATCACCAGCCAAAGTGGGGTGGACACAGTCATAATAAAAATTCAAATCAATAGAATATCTGACAATCAGCCCTGAGATTAACACATGGACAAAATATCATTTAAAAAAAACTGTATTTGGTACAAAGTAAACCACTTTTTGGAACAATAAAAAAAATGCAGAGAACATTTCAGGTTCTCTCGACAAACGTGATAATTAACAAAACGAATTTGCTGCAACAAAACGAAGATAAATTAATGATAATAGTTAATTGATAATGGCACATGTGAGAGAGGAAGCGTCCCAGGACAGAGGTGTAGGTGTGACTGTGTCCTGCTGCTGCTGGTGGGACACTGCAGCGGTCTCAGACAGCGCTGCGCTGCCCCTAATGGCGGCGATGAAGAGTACAACAGACACTTTACACCAACACTGATCACAGTCTTCTCTCTAAAACAAACAGACTGAGCAGCCGGAGCCCCGACTAAAACAATACGCCTGGAACTAACCGCAGTGCATCGTTCACACCCGGCCCACAGAGTCGGTGCGTACCTGTGGGTTCATTAGGAAGTTGCCTGACGTGCACTTACAACAACAACAAAGTCTGCAGCAGAGAAATGATTGACAGCTGCCTTCATCAGGATGTTAAAGGAAGGGAACGTACATCCACTGATTTGTCTTTGCACAATATGAGAGAGAGAAGAGGAAAAACTGCAACTCTTGTCAATTCGACTTTTTAAGAAAGGTTCTGCAGGAAATGCACCAACCAGGCTCCCGAGAAATAAAAATCAACATCAGAGCAGAAATCTTGACACTAGCACGGCCACTGCTACTGAAATTAACATCCATGTAAACCAAGAATTCTCCACACCAGTGATACATCAGCAGACATACATCCGATTTAAACCTCGGTGAAGCCGAGTGGTCCTGTGAGGACAGACCAGGCTTTGTTGAGGTTCATTCAACAGTAATGAAAGTGAAACTGAGGGAGGAAAAATGATGAGGACAAACCCAAGTAAACAGCCGATGAATGGCAGCAAAAGGAGTCCCATCATGTAAATGAGCTATTATTTATCGTCCTCAGACATGGTTCCAAACAAACTGATGTCAAGACAGTGCAGATGAACAGAACATGGGAACATTCAAATGCTCTCAGTCTGACATGAGAAGCCAAAGTGCTTTAGGTCAAAAAATAAAATAATATATATGAGGTGATGAAAATGGACATGAATTGAAAGAAAGATTGTCAAATGATGTTATGTGATTTGATTATTTGAAAGCAGATTTGATTAGAGCATCACATGTTTACAATAATGGATTTGATGAACTTGTTTGTTTGTTTGAAACAGTGTTGCATGAATTAACCAGGTTAATATTCATTGTGATTAATAAAATGCACAGCAGGGAAAATGTGAACACTTTGCAGTTTACATCATCCTGAATAAATTAATCCAATCGGCTTTAAATTATTCAAATCCAATTTAACAGCTCTGCTTAACGTGTGTGTGTGTGTGTGTGTGTGTGTGTGTGTGTGTGTGTGTGTGTGTCAGCCCAAGAAGGAAACACTGCAGCCGGAGCAGAGGACCATACGTGTTCAGTGCCTCTTCCAAAGTGCATCCTGCAGAAACCCCTCACACCGAGAGAATACATTCAAACATACACTGCCCCCCTCCCCTCCGCAACATCAACTGGGCCCATTGTTAATGGCCACGTGTCATCTGAGAGATCTCGGCTTTGCGAAACAAAACGTAATGCCATGTGTGAGTCCAAAAAACTCAGGTCAGGTACCTTTGTTCTGAGAGGGTCCTTAAAATCGATGTCCAGCCCTTTTTTCTGTCCCATCTCTTCCTAAAACCTGCGTCTCCTTGACTAGATTGAAATTTCAATATTGATCTGCTTCACCAATAACTTAAAGAAAGGAAACACAGTCAAACCTTTTTGACAACTGCTAAAGAAGCCATTAAGAAACCTCAGGAATAAATAAACCAAATATAATCAAATACTTAGAAAATCTTTAAAAAAATTAAATATCTTTGATTATTATTCATTTAATCCATGAAAACAAATCTTCATAAATAACTCCACGAATTCAGCCTGTTTCTTTAAAGGAAGCGAGGATGATTTTTTTCAGTCTCCAGGTGTCGTGACTGGCCCGAGGGAGCTCTCTGTGGCTGAGCTCCTCCAGTCGCTGATGTCAGGTCTAACAGCGGAGCGAGGAGCCGAGGGTGAAGTTAAGGTTTATGGGTGCTAGCTGTCAGTCAGAAGGAAGCCTGGTCCAATGTTGCCATGGTTACCAGCGAAAAAGGCAGCCCCTGCCGGACGCTGCAGGTGAAAGTCTGGAAGACAAAACACATGACTCAAAGTTATTCATTTGAACACATTTCAAAACAAAAGTCAGTGGCTGTGGATATTTCTCAGGGAGCCCCCCCAGTAGACTGGGCGGAATCATCCGGAGGATTCCCTGCAAACAATTTAATACGTTGATGATGTTTCTAACAGACGACAGACACAAAACTGAGAAGAATAAAAGAATATGTTAATGTTGGAACACAGACGAAGATATCAAGAGTGGTTTGTACACAGAGACACATGATCTCTGCAGTGGAAGTTATACGCTCCGGCCTGCGTCGTGCATGTTGCACCACCTCTCACTTAAACGAGCTGGAGAGTTTTCTGCTGTTGTGCACAAGTCTCAGCGGAGAATCTCCTGCTGCAAAGAAAGTCCAGACACAACTGTGCGGACATTTTCCAGAGATCATTTCTGAAAATGACTTTCCAGTCATTTTCAGAAATAGAATAGAATGGAAAAATAAAAACAGACAATAATCAGCCAGGACTGTAAGTGTTCACAGATTCTCTTGTTAATACATTAAAGTGCCATGCTTCAGCTTTAATTTCAGTAAGTTACTGGTGTTCCAGTGACTAAACAACAACACCCGGGACACCATCAGTCTTAAGAGTTTTGCAATGTTTCCCTGCGGTTTCCAAGCTGTTGTTTTTCCTTTGACAGTGAGCTACGTTAGCAACAGGCTTTGAGAAACGTTTTCTATCGTTTGCTGGGTGTGTCAGAGGTGTTGCCCAATCAGCAGTGACAAGCCCTGTCCCATTGAAAATGCAGTGCACACAAAGGATTCTGTGTTTGCATCGGTTGAATATGTTGGAACTAGTTATTCCAAAAGGCAGAGATTGGAACATCAAGCGTATTTCAAAATATTTCACGCAGATTTAAACTCATGTCAACTACTTCAAAAGTTTCTTCAAAGAGACAGGCCTCCTCCAACTCCTCAGCTTGTGCATCACAATACACAACACATCTCTAATTGCATTTTGATAAACATTAAGCTCCTTGGTTTGTCCAGCAGAACAGCGCTCTGTTACTTTCTTTCTTCTCTGCAGATTCTCTGTCAGCTTGTTGGTAGATCTCCATTTTTACCTCTATTAGTGGAATGCTGCAAAGTCACATTCACATCAGGCAGTTTACCAGCAACTCAACTAGTAGCTAAGTGACCACTGTGAAAAAAGGGCAGTGGCTCCTACACACTTTAAATTAAAACTGACACTTCAATGTTTTCCATCATCTTACATAAAAATAAAAAGCCTAAACAAAACAAAAAGGAGCAACTGTCAAAACAACAGCAAGTAATGCCTTCTTTGTTTCTATGTATGATATTTTCAGGGTTTCAAGGTTTTCAGGACCAGGAAATAATGCAAACTTTTTATCAAGACTGTAATTGAGCATTTTTACTTAATACATGTCTCCTTGAGTATTTCATTTCACCGATAAAATACTCACGGAGACAAAACATTGTCATATGTGGTAATTTTGCTGGAATGAAGCTAGAGTTGATTATCCTGGACAAGCTTGTGAGAGCAGGCTACACTTTGGCTAGAAGCAGGCTTTTCCATGACTCGCTCGCTAACCTCTCACTATCGTCTCTGCTTCAGTGGTATATGTCTCGGTGGCTGAAGACTCTCATGTGCAGTTCAGTGACAGACAGGTACATCAGCCATGTTAATTACAGATGTGTAAGGGCCAGAGACAGACTTCTTTCTTTTCCCCCCACACAACTTTGTTTATTTAAGGCTATCAGGTAAAGAGGATATAAATAAGGAATTAAGATTTAAGAGGTTTCAAAGGCAACTTCGGGATGGAGCAGCCCTTCCAGAATGTTGGGGAACTTTGCAGATAAGGTGAAAATAAAAAAATAAAATAAAAACATGGATGGATCTCAATTCGGAGATTGAGAAGTAATTTGACACAACTTGCTCCTGAGCCACAGATCTCATTAGAGCAGAGGAAGTATTTTACCTCATGAGTTTCACACCAACGTTGTCACCTGCCGTTGCATCTGTTCCCTGCAGGACCTTTGAACGTCTTGTCCTGAAGAATGGAATCAAAAGCTTAGTCAATGAGAGAGTTGCACAATTTCACGTCAACATCCTTCAGACAGGGAGCTTGTGATAATGATAGAAACACTCAAAAGTGTCTCTGGAACAACTTGTCCAGCTTTAAGTGAAGTTATTTCTGCTCACCTTGTGCTTTTTACACTTCATGGAGAAGTTTTCTTCAATGAGTACACATTCTGCTGGAACAAGAACAGAAGAGGAGGCTGAAGATGCCGCATTGATTCACCCGAAGGGTTCAACTACCCACACGTGCAAGTCCAGCCCCAGCAGAGCAGCTATTTCCTCACCAATGCGCCCACATGAACTCTGACACACTCACACACTCCACCAGCTGTGGGTGAATTCCACTTTGTATTTCAACAGATACGGTTAATTTCAGACATCAGAATTTATTCAGGAAAAAGTAAAGGTCCTCTAGCAGACCAAAATAACATCTCATTTACATCAATGCAAAACGATCTACATTTAAAGGACCAGTTCACCAAAAGCAAATATGTTTTTTTGTACCTCTAGTCATGCTGAGTCAGTTTGGTTTTATTTGAACAGGGTTTGAGATTATCTGTTCACCTGCATTGTACTGTGGTGGAAGCAGAGATCTCCCGTACATATGCATAAATGTCTGCACATCTGTTTTCACAGAGGGTTAACCAACCAAACAAAAATAAAAGCCACGTACGCCGTCCATAGAAAGAAGGATTGGACAAGACAGTACTTTGTTCTTGCGTGCTGTGATAAGGTGAGGGGCACAGAGCACGACGTACCTGACTCCAGAGCACATCTGTAGTGGTACTTGTTGGGACAACCTTTGAAGAAGCAGCCCAGTGTCGCACCTGGATAACGACACGCTGAGCATGTCTGCAAACACAGAGCACAAACAAGGTACAATGAGTAAGTCATGTGCCGACGCCTGTGGTTTCTGATTTAAGACGTTTAAGACACGTCTTTATTTAAGACATGTCGGGTATGAGAGATATGAAGGATCATCCCAGAAATGCTTCCCCTCAATTAAATATAAGGTGAAGTGGCCTTGTAGAGGGTAAACCTTGAAACGTCACATTATCTTCCAAACTAGACACACTTCTCACACGTTTCACTGAGAGAGAACTGGAACATACAGAGACATCACCCAGTAGAAAGCATACCTCCGGCCAGGCCCAACAGTCCCCTTATGAAACCACATTTAAATTCACTAGATCCTGATTATTCAGATCTGCACCAAATTGGAAACATTCATAAATACAAGTCCCCTAAATATAACAAATGTTTTAATCAAGATCCATGAATTATTCTAAGAAATGAAGTACTAGCATTGAATGAACATTAACCTAATGAAGACCTGGACATACTTAAGACATAGTAAATTATATTTTAACATTGAAACAAAAATGTTTAGGCCTACAATTCATATTATTGAATTTTAGACTTGTCTTAGAGTCTGTAAAAACCCTGCAAACTCAATATCATTGAAAATCCAATAGTATGATTATCATTATTATCTCATTACAATTCTGCTGGCACGACTAATGAAAAGATGTTTTCACACAGAATCCCTGACTCATGGTTCATTCTTCAAGCTGTTTTCACACATGGCCAAAAGGTAAAATGTGGAGAACTGGCTTCAGTTTATCCACAGTTTGCCTTTAACACATGCACAACACAGCGGGAGGTTTTCTACACAGACACGTTCACAACAGCATCAAATCCTCTGCATTATTCAGGCGAGAGCTGGAGCAGTTGGGTGCAGCAGGAAGTGACGCATTCGCTGCCGAGATCTCATGATTATGTTTACAGCAGCCGACACCTGTGATCGGCTCTCATCACCACAAACTCTCTGGACATCTTCTACAGTGTCTTCTGTGTGTCACCGCTATTTCACCTGGAGATATTTGTTTTATTCTATCGTTTTTGCATCTGTCATGTGTTTGAAGCAAAATGTCTACAGGTCTATTCACAGTCTGACTTTGGGAACATGGTAGTACAGTGACAGGAACATGATACATCCCACCATGTCTGTGCAGTGGGTATGGTGAAGAAACACTGCTCACTAATCATTAGGTGCCATAGATGGAGTCTGTGGTATCAACAGGAAAACTCTTAGATACTGAAACTGAGCTTGAATCACATCTCTGGCAGCAGACTGAAGCTGCTTTCAGATATGCACTCGAGTCCAGAGATTTCCCTGGATTTGTCTGGAGGGGGTGAAAGTGAGAACACAATGTCTGAGTCAGTTGCTCCTGATATTTCCTGGGACTTTGCCTGACAGCCCCCTGGTAAAATGTCTGAGACAGTCCATATCAGAATACAGCAGAATAATGTCACGGTGAGTGAGTGGGTGTGTCAAATGTTTTTAAACACACAAGGAAAACTGGAAGAATAGAAAACTCTCTGGATGAAAACAAGGTGCTACACACGGAGAAGAAGGTGATTAAGATGTCAACGAGAATCAAGAGCTTTTGACAAAAGGGCAGATGCCCGTCAATGTGCTGTGATCTCTGCAGTTTATACGTCATGTCCTGCCTCCTGAACGCTCTACCCAAATGCCACCCCTCACCTAAATGTCCCAGAAATCTTCCTGTTGGGAAGGCATCTGACCCGGATAATAATCTACTGCATTCGGATAAACCCCAGAAAATATCTTGACCCAATTTTCCAGACATTTGAGACATTCATAGAGTTCATGTCTAAAACGGCTTAAGAAACTTTATGAACTTTGTTAGTATATGTATATATATAGTCACCAGCATGGGACTTTATATACCAACAAAGT